TTGCAGATATTTCACTACCCAACTAGGGAACGTCATCAGTACTAGAAAGGAGTGGGATTTGTGGAAAGGAAGAGGAGGTGGAGGAGGTGGTTTGTGTCCCTCTGCCCAGCTACCTGCTAACTAGTTTAAAGGCTATCTAAACAAGCCTTTTGCTCAGCGGTGCCATGATCTCATGACAATCACTGAAGATTTTCCCGCCAAGCAACTGCATGCCATCTTTCCTTAGCTGACAAACAACATCTTTGGCAGTTTATTTGGTATCATTTCAGAGTGGAACCTCTGCTGCTTACAAGGCAGAACAAACTACAGCGAGTACAACATTGCACTGGACTTCCTGTCCCCCCAAGAGGCCCAATGGATGAAGCTGGTTTACAAGCTCCAAGCTGATCTCATACAGATATGGGTTCTCCCATCTCCTACCTTCCTGGCCCAGTGAAAACCTCAATTTAAGAACGGATTTTACCAGAATGTTTTTTTTTTATATCGCAACAAAGTCCAGTTTCCTCCCACTGGTGGCCTGAGTTTGAACCTGATTCTTAATCCCTATGAATATTACATGTTCTACTTTGCCATCAGCCTCTCCACCACCTGTCCCATCAGCATGTCAAACAGTGTTTATTTCATCCTGGTGGACCAGTACTTGAAGTGGTTCTTGCCCATTGGTTGTTTTCTTCTGTTTTTTAGTACCTTTTTTTTTTGCATATTTTGGTCTGCAACTGTACATTCTTGGATGAATAACTACCTTTATTGTCCATTCATGATCCCCTGATTCTATAAATATGTGGTCTTTTTTTTGTTCGCTGATGACAATGATGTACAGGGAAAGAAACTGCCTTGAGACTTGGTCTTGGAAGAACCAAAGTTTTGGAACCATTGTAGATGAATGTCCCAAAGGTGCTTTTCCAAGAGGCAACTGGACTTTCTTGTTTTTCTTTGAAGATGTTTCGCTTCTCATCCCAGAAGCTTCTTCAGCTCTGACTGGATAGTGGGGAATGGAAGGATTTATATTCCTTGCAGATAGCTGGTCATTTGCATTCTTTTAGAGCAGAGGTGTCAAACTTGCCGGCCGATGGGCCGGACGCGTCACGAGAAAACCGTGCCCACCCCATTGCCGGCAATGGGTAAAAAGCTCCGATACGTTGCGCGACATCACGTGACGTCACGAGTTTGACATGTCTGTTTTAGAGAGTCGTTGAGGCCACTTGGAGGTGTATCTGTGTCCTCAAGGCCACCTGAGTGGTGCAAATGGGTATGGAGCCTTCTTGGAACTGTTGAAAGGACTTGTGTTGTAGACTGGAGAAAGATGGTGTCGTATCCCTCCCCCTCTGTTGAGAGAGGGCTGCTAGATGGCCTCTTTGACCCCTCTTTCAAACCAGAGGTCCTCTCTGTCCAAAATGTGGACTTTGCTGCCTTCGAAAAAGTGGCCTTTTGTCTTTCAAATGCAGATGGACTACTGAATCTTGTCCTGATAGGTTTGTTCTCCTATGTTGTGCCATGTGTTTATGAAGTGGTGGTCTTGTTTCCCCAATGTACAGATCTGCACATGTCTCAACACATTGTACTGCATACACCATGTTGCTCAGTGTGTATCGGGGTGTTTTATCCTTGGGTTGGACAAGCTTCTGCCTCAGGGTATTCTTGGGTTTGAAGTGGGCATTGCAGATGATGTGACACCCAGAAAAATACGGCATACTCCATTTAATCCTCCAGGGAAAGATTGAAGGCAAATGAGGTCCAGGCAGAAGAAGAACATCGTGGCTTCAAAATCTAAGGGACTGGTTTGGACAAAACTCAGCAGCCCTTTTTCGTGCGGCTGCTGATAAAAACAGGATCGCCAACATGACTGCCAACGTCCGATAACGGATATGGCACAAGAAGAAGAAGAAGGATTGCAGATGAACTATTGGAAACTGTAGGCAATTCTTTGGGTTTTGTTTTAAGCTAGCCATCAGACAGAAACAGCCTCTCCTTAACCATTTCTGTTTTTAATTTTATATAACTATCACCCTCAAATCTAGTCACTTGCTAGAGTTAGGGGTTGTCTGGTCTTTCCAGGGGTCTCTGATGTTCTCATGAGAAGCGATAAAATGTGGGAAGGAAGGGGTAGCGAAGATTAAACAACCTAAAAAAAAATCAATTTATTTCTTATTTAGCTCAGAGCTCTTATGAAAAGCCTGATAATGAGGATGAATATTTTTTTTTCTTTCCTTCTCCAAGCTGGGCAGCAACTGAAATTAGAAATCTACAGATCTCGCCCCAACCTGCCATTTATTCAACGATTGGTCCATTTGCTTCGATTTGGAAAAAGGAAGAAAAATCTGGCAGCATTTTCCATCCCTGCATTTTTCATACGCATTTCTTAATCTCTGATGACAGAGAGATCGTAAATGTCCTCTAAATGTTACGGAACAGGAGCAAAGTTAAACTGTACAAATGTTTTGGAATTGATGTGTTTAGCATTTAAATGGCAGCCTCTTTTTTTTCAGATGGTTTGATGCCAATCTATGGATCATTTATTTCTATCTCTCTGCTCTGTTTTGGAAATATTTCCTTCAAATGAAAAAGCAAAACAGTTGGGCAAAACTTTATGGGAAGGGGGGGGAAACATGTTACCTTATTTGACCAAGAGTTAATGATATCCCTTTTCTAGAATTCTTACAGATACCTGCTGAAGACAGGATATTATTTTAATCATTGGTTTAATTTAGATGTAAATGTAAATTCTCAATTCAGCTCGGCTCCTGGTGTGCTCAGTAATTATTTTAGGAGCAACATGGAAGTGGTTTTCACATCCTTCTTCTGAGATTACTATTATCATTTGGACATTTTCGTTTGATACAACACTGGGGTTTTATCGTAGTCTGATTCTTCCAAGTCAAGATAATGTTGGCTAGAATAGAATAGAATAGAATAGAATAGAATAGAATAGAATAGAATAGAATAGAATAGAATAGAATGGAATGGAATGGAATGGAATGGAATGGAATAATGATAGAATGGAATGGAATGGAATGGAATGGAATGGAATGGAATGGAATAGAATAGAATAGAATAGAATAGAATAGAATAGAATAGAATAGAATAGAATAGAATATACAAAATAGGATAGGATAGGATAGGATAGGATATGGAATAGAATAGAATAGAATAGAATAGAATAGAATAGAATAGAATAGAATAGAATAGAATAGAATAATGGAATGGAATAGAATAGAATAGAATAGAATAGAATAATGGAATGGAATAGAATAATGGAATGGAATAGAATAGAATAGAATAATGGAATGGAATAGAATAGAATAGAATAGAATAGAATAGAATAGAATAGAATAGAATAGAATAGAATAGAATAGAAGCTGGGAAGGACCTTGGAGGTCTTCTAGTCCAGCCCCCTGCTCAAGCAGGAGAACCTACACCATCTCAGATAGGTGAATGTCTAGTCTCTTTTTAAAAGTTTCCGGTGATGGAGCGCCCACGATTTCTGGGATTAAGCTGTTCCAATGGTTGATTGTCCTCACTGTCAGGAAGTTTCTCTTTAGTTCCAGGTTGCTTCTCTCCTTGATCAGTTTCCATCCATTGTTTCTCGTCCTTCCCTCTGGTGCTTTGGAGAATAACATGACCCCCTCTGCCTTGTGGCAGCCCCTCAAATACTGGAATGCTGCTATCATTTGTCCCCTATTTCTTCTTTTCTTTGGACTAGCCAAACCCAAAATGATATCCTGCCCAGTTTTTCCAGTGGCCCTTGGCTGACACCCAAGAGAGGAAGCTTCCTTCCACAACGACCCAACCCTGCTTTGAACTTTGACTAAATGGTCATTGACCCTCAGGAGAACGTCTCTCAACCAATGTTACGTTGACATCTGCTTTTGTTTCCATTGCGTTCCAGGACACGGATATCTTGAACACAGCCATTCTCACTGGGAAGACAGTTGCTGTCCCCATCAAGGTGGTTTCTGTTGAAGAAAACAACATGGTGGTGGATATCTCTGAATCGGTGGAATGCAAGTCTGCTGAAGAGGTGGTTAAAGTAAGTGCTAGGATCATCAGCCACGGGGGATATATTTGAAGAGTTGGGTCTCTGTCCTTCCGCTCTGCGCTTCCATGGTCAACTATGACCTAGTTGGGTCAAGATAGTTTGTTGATTCTTGTCCCATCTTTCTGGTCAAGGTTTACTTGCTGGTATTGCCTTTTCTTCTCCACTTGATAAGCAAACAGCCAAAACTTTCCTGAGGGCATACTGGGTTCTCACACCCCTTTTTTGTGTTTGTGTTGACACTGTTGGCTTTATATGGATGCAGAGGTGATCTGGAGGAACCGCTGAGCTTCAGTTCAGCAGTAAGGAATGCCTGAGGTGAATTAAAGAGTTATGTTATAAAATAGCTAGGTTATTTGTATTCCTGGTTAGAGCCCAACCTGAAATCGGATGTAATTAGAGCTGCTTGAAAATATATCTGAAAACCATTGAGGTAAACCATAGAGATAATATATGTAGCTCCAGCTATTAAAGAATCCCTGCTGGATTTTAATGCCTCCGTATTAATAATGCAGCCAACCTTCCTTTGGCTCAAGGCAATTTGAGGCTTTGTCTGGTTACCATTGTCTACCAACCCTTCAAGCTTTCTGTTGAAGATACATATTTATGAAACCTTCTTGAACTGACATCTATATATTTTAGTGCCCGATCTTCCTAATATGTATAGAAAGCCCCAAACTGTGTGGCTACCGATCTGTCATTCTCAAATCTCAGAACTTCCTTCTGATGATGCAGCATCTCTACCACAGGTATGGTCCTTAGTCTGTCAAAGATTACAACCTGCCTTAAATTTCCATCTTTGTTCTGGTGAACTAGGCCAGGGGTAGGCAACCTTGCCTCTTTTATGACTCGTGGACTTCAACTCCCAGAATTCCTGAGCCAGCATGGGGGAACTATGGCCCCCTCATGACTTGTGGACTTCAACTCCCAGAATTCCTGAGCCAGCATGGCTCAGCTTGGAAACCTCTCCCTTTCCCCTCAGCGTGGCTGGCTCAGGAATTCTGGGAGTTGAAGTCCACGAGTCATAAAAGAGCCAAGGTTGCCTACCCCTGAACTAGGTCATAAAATCCTGAGCATTACAAATATAAAAGGGTAATAATCTTCTGAGTCTTATTTCAATTAAACCTAGAATACTCTCGCAGCAAAGCAAAGGCTCTGTTTCGATCCTATTCTTCTTTTGTGTTGTTCCTACACTATTTTCCTGTTGTGTCTTGAAATACTGTGCACTCCGTCTTCGACAAGTAGAAACATTTCCGTGAAATGAACCCCGGAAAGTGTGCAGAGATGAGCAACAAAGATGATTAGGGATCTGGAGGCTAAACCACATCATGAAGAATTGAGGGAACTGGGCATGGCTAGTCTAGTGAAGAGAAGGACGAGGGGGGACATGATAGCAATCTTCCAATATCTCAGGGGATGCCACAAAGAAGAGGGAGGGTCAACCTATTCTCCAAAGCCCCTGAAGGCAGGACAAGAAGCAACAGATGGAAACTAACCAAGGAGAGAAGCAACCTAGAACTAAGGAGAACTTTCCTGACAGTTAGAACAATTAACCAGTGGAACAACCTGCCTCCAGAAGCGGTGAATGCTCCAACACTGGAAGCTTTTAAGAAGAGACCGGACAGCCATTTGGCTGTTTAATTGTTCTAACAGTCATGAAGTTTCTCCTTCGTTCTAGGTTGCTTCTCTCCTTGGTTAGTTTCCATCCATTTCTTCTTGTCCTGCCTTCTGGTGTTTTGGAGAATAGCTTGACTCCCTCTTCTTTGGAGCAGCCCCTGAGATATTGGAACACTGTTATCATGTCACCCCTCGTCCTTCTCTTCATTAAACTAGACATACCCAATTCTGGAAGAGTGAGATTTAATATTTCATACATCCACCCTTGCTCTACCTCTTGGTATACCCTTCCAACAAAGGCTGGTACATAAAACATATATATCGTTGACAAGCTGGTAATTCTCCATCCTTAACAATATAAGTAACACACTTGAAGTGTGACTGATGTTCCAGGATGTCCAGCCAATTTTTTTCCTATCTCTCTCCTGGTTTGGGTTATATACCGCACTCGCCTTCTTTGAATTCTGAATTTACACTCCTCCCTGAAGTTATAAAAGTGCTCAATCTCCCAAGGATGGGTCTAACCTTTTAAAAAGTGGACCAGAAGATATTTACAGTGGCACTAAAACATAAAGAATAGCCCACATTTTTGCTGGCTCAGCAAGATTCCGCTAAGATGCTTTCTTGGTGCCTATGAATAATGAGAGTTCCATTCTGGACCTTGGGAACTTCTTCCCTTCCTAGAAACTTAGAAAAGGAGCCAGCTATTTTTATTTTGCAAAACTTGAGGGGGAAAAAGAAATCGCTTCCCTGTCTGGAACAGATTGCTCAGATTTGAAACAAGCCTTGTTTTGGCAGTCAAATTTCTTCTATTTATTTCTGTGTCTGTTCAAGTGCAAGTGAGTTGAGCATGTGCTAAGGTTGGCAGCAAGGAAGCCAACAGAGAAGATACATATAATAAAGGAGAATATCTGTAGCTCAGGGTTGAAATGGAGGGTCCTTGGCGCTCTCTGAGCTTGGTGGTTTTCTTGCAGATGTTTCATGAGCCAACTAGGTAACCTTGTCAGTGCTAGACTAATGAAAGGTCTGCAATAAAACCACCAAGCTCAGAGAGCACCAAGGACCCCATAGTCGTCGTTGTCATCGTCATCGTCGTCCTCCTCCTCCTCCTTTTGTTCTTCCTCTTCCTCTTCTTCTCCTCATCCTTCTCCTCCTTCCCACAAATCCCACTCTCTCCTTGCACTGATGATGTCACCTAGTTTGGGTAATGAAAACCTCTAAGCTCAGAGAGCAACAAGGACCCCACAGTCCTCCTCCTCCTTCTCCTCTTACTCTTCCTCCCTTCTTCTTCATCTTCTTCCTCCTCCTCTTCCTCCCTTCATCTTCCTCCTCCTCCTTCTCCTCTTCCTCTTCCTTCCTCCTCTTCCTCTTCCTCCCTTCATCTTCTTCTTCCTCCTCCTCCTCTTCTTCCTCCCTTCTTCTTCCTCTTCCTCTTCCTCTTCCTCCTCCTCCTCCTCCTCCTCGCATTGATGATGTTACCTAGTTTGGATAATGAAATGTCTGCAAGAAAGCAAGCAAGCCCAGAGAGCACCAAGGACCCCTCAGATACATCTGAGTAGGTCAACCCAGAGGATCAGGGCTGTGTTAGGATTTTAAAGACACAAGTGTCTCTCTCTTTCTCTCCTTTTCCTGCATGCCTCTTTAAAGGGTAAGGAATGCTAATAAACCTGAGGAAGTTAGTAAAAATCCATACTTTTTAGTATCTCCCCTAACAGTGATGCTAATATAAAATATGTGTATATCTCTGGTAGTTTCCACCTGATCGTCAAATTCAGCAGTTGCTAAACTTGAAGTTTGGAGGACCGGATGTACAGTAGATGTTTTGAATGTTGGACTAGGATTGTAGAGGTTCAGGTTGAAATTCCTGCTTAGCCATGATGGAGATCCATAACAAGCTGCATCCATCCTGCTTTCCATTGTCTTAGAAGTCAACCAAATATCCCATCACCCCCAACTCTCGTGAGATTTTTTCAATGTGCAAATATCCCATGATCCTCAACAAATTATGATCCTGACTCTTTATCCTGTGATCCCTGACTCTTTATCAGATTTCTCAGTGAGCAAATGTCCCATAATCCCCAACTCTTACGAGATTTCCCAGTGGGCAAACATCCCATAATCCCCAATTCTTACGAGATTTCCCAGTGGGCAAATGGTCCATAATCCCTAACTTGTAAGAGACTTCCAATGGGCAAAATCTTCCAATGATCTCCCAATCTTGTTAAATTTCTGGGTTAACAGATTGAGATCTTGCGTGAGTCCAGGCAGGAATGCAGGATCTGTGTGAGCTTCAGGCATCTTTCTGAGATCACCCATGATCTTGTGAGCCGTCTCCTACTTTTAACTTCCTTTCTCACTCCTTTTCTTACCGCTGAACAAGACTATGTTACAAGGCACGGTGCCCCAAACCATCATCAGCTCCACACTAGGCATGGTGACATGCTGACAATGCGAACTGGCTGTGACAAAAAGAATTATTTTGACCTTCATTTTCTTTATTCCGCCTTTATTTGTATGCTGTCCCTTTTTCTTGTGATGAAAGCAGCTTGATAAAGAAGAGACAGATGTTGGATCTGGTGTCTGGGAGCAATATTTTATTGCCTCTATCCGGGGTAGCAGGAAGCTTTCATGAGTTCATGGACCAAGGCTGCTTGTCCCTTTGTTTTCCCCAAAATAAAATCCCTTATTGCATTCTTTAAAGCCCGAGGATTTATAGATAGGATATTGTTTAATTAAGCAAAGACACCAGGAGGTGTTAGATGCTACAATGAAAAGGAACTGAGTTATCAGACTTGCAACATCCTTCTGGGGTTTATTCACTTCTTGCCAATGAGTGCTAAATTATGAGAAAAGGTGACTAGTTAGGAACAAGGCCATTTTAATGCTTTATTCTTTGCACTTCGTACTTGATCAATACCTCCCATCAACTCAGTTTAGTGGTATAAGGGAAGTTTATTCCATCTCGATTTTATACTAACTTACCCAGCAACAATCTTCTAGACAATCTCAGACAATCACCTGTCTGAGATGGTGTAGGTTCTCCTGCTTAAGCAGGGGGGCTGGACTAGAAGACCTCCAAGGTCCCTTCCAGCTCTATTCTATTCTATTCTATTCTATTCTATTCTATTCTATTCTATGTTACTCTACTGTAATTTTATTCTATTCTATTCTATTCTATTCTATTCTATTCTATTCTATTCTATTCTATTCTATTTATTCTATTCTATTCTATTCTATTCTATTCTGTATTCTATTCTATTTTCTATTCTATTCTATTCTATTCTATTCTTTGTTACTCTAATTCTATTCTATTCTATTTTCTCTTCTCTTCTTTTCTAATTCTCTTCTCTTCTATTATTCTCTTCTCTTCTCTTCTCTTCTAATCTAATTCTATTATCTCCTCTCCTCTCCTCTCCTCTCCTCTCCTCTCCTATTCCATTCCATTCCATTCCATTCCATTCCATTCCATTCCATTCCATTCCATTCTATTCTATTCTATTCTATTCTATTCTATTCTATTCATCAAGAAGTCTAAACATCTATGGTGATTCTCAGTCTTCCGGGTCATGGTTGTCTCAAAGTTTGTTCGTTTGTTTCAAAAGGCAACTAGACTTTCTTTGGTTTTCCTTGAAGACATTTCGCTTTTCAACCAAGAAGCTTCTTCAGTTCTGAATGGTGGACGTTGGAAGGATTTATATTCCTTGCAGTCATCTGGTCATTAGCACTCTTTCTGAGAGTCATTGAGGACACTTGGACAGATAAACCTCCTCCGTCATTCAGTCAGAACCGAAGAAGCTTCTTGGATGAGAAGTGAAACGTCTTCAGGGAAAAATAAAGTCCAGTTGCCTTTTGAAAAAGCACCATTGGGACACCACAACTCTATTATTATGATGGATTGCACGGTCAGCCAGATGTTTAGATTGGCTTTGGCATTTGTGTCTACCTATCAAGTCCTTCCCATACACAGATGTTGTCCTTTGATGGTGTTGAAGGTGTTGTTGCAAGATGTAAGCTGTTCCAAGTCAAGCTACCTTTTGCAATTGACTGATGCTGTGTTTGTCAATGCCAATGGTGTTCAAGTGGTGCTCCAGATGTTTTGCAATTATACCCAAGGCATCTTCTACTGTTGGTACTATCTTTGCAAACAACATCTGCCTATCCCAGGTCCTTGGGAAGGACTCCAAATCCAGCTGCCAGTTCTTTAGCAGATGTTGGCATTCATTCTTACCAAATTCTTCCCAAGAACCTAGGATGTCTTAATGGATCAGCCTATTGCATCTCCAAGCAGTGATTAATAGTGATCCTTGTTATTATTTCCCAAAACAGCACTACTTTTTTTTTCTCCCTTGAGATATTACAAATCCCCAGAACTTTACAAAGAACACGCGGCAAAAAAAATAATTCCTCCTGTGATGGACCATTATCTCTTTTTTATGGTTGGTTTTGTGCTTCTGAACTTTTCTTTTCATTCAACCTCAGGGCAGCCTCCCGCCTTCTCGCCGCCAGCGTTGAACTGGATTTATTATTTAGCATGTAAATATTGTCCCAGAATAGAAGCACACATTAGCATAGCCAATTTCAGAGAGATATCCGTAATCGCTTCTTTAATCAGTGTTGAATTTTACAGACCACTGAGTTTTCTCTTCTGTTAACATGCTGGGGACAAGCTGGGTGGCAGAGATAGATAATGGATGGATGGATAGGCAGATGATAGAGAGAGAGATGATACAGGGAATGATAGCTGGATAGCTGATAGATAGATAGATAGATAGATAGATAGATAGATAGATAGATAGATAGATAGA